AGCTCAGGCTGCGGGCTGAGGAGATGCTTGAGATTCCTCTCCCTATGCCCTTGGACCTCCTCACTCAAGTCTTCCATCACAGGTATCTTTCTATTTTCTTTTTCATACAAGGTACCAGAGTTCATTTGGAAGTTCTGCCCATTGTTCAGTTTGATTACAATACTGAAAGATGGGCAACCTTAGAATAGTCTGAAGCATATCTGAATTTGGGATTGGGATTTCTTCTACTATATTAGGGCACTGAAATAAAATCCTGGACTGAGTTTAGCTACACCTTGCCTACCCTATCTAAGCAACTCTGAGGATAGGCATCCCTCCTTTCTATTCCAAGCATCTCCACCGAAAGAATCTCAGGTGTCAAGGCTGGAAGAGCCATTTCAGTTAACTTCAGTTAACCAGAACACACAATATGGGATGCCTGGATGGGAATCAGCCTGGGAATTTTTATTTTAAACTAGCAGGTTCTGCAGCCTGAAAAAGTTTTTAAAACCCTGGTCTAGAATATATATAAGTCAAAGATATGTTGTTGGCATGTTCTTCCTAAGTTAATACAATGTAAGTCTGGCAAAGAACAAATACTGTATGATCAGTCATGCATATCAAATGCCAAATTTGTAATACAAAGGCAATTTCCTAAGGTATTTTTGAGTTATATCAATTTGGTATAATGAAAGTTTAATTGCAAACAGCTGGTAATCTTTCTTCAGTGTTCCAATAAAGAGCTAAGTATGTATGTGCAGGATGAACACACACTAGATTTGTGTATTACACGATAGATTACAGTCCATTTTATTATAATGGTAATATATTCAAATAATATGTTAACTATAGATAACTAGGATATTATTAGCATCTTGGTCTCTCTGATTCTGAGTTTAATAACGCCCATTAAAATTTCTCTCTTTTGGGGGTAGGGGATAACTACCCAAAATGTAAAATAAATGCCAAGCAAAATTGTTTTTGATGATGTCCTGAGGGAGGGAGGGAACAAATACAGTGGGGCAAAAAAGTATTTAGTCAGCCACCAATTGTGCAAGTTCTCCCACTTAAATATGATGAAAATTACAGGCCTCTCTCATCTTTTTAAGTGGGAGATTTTAAGTGGGAGAACTTGCACAATTGGTGGCTGACTAAATACTTTTTTGCCCCACTGTATTTTTAAGTGGGAGAACTTGCACAATTGGTGGCTGACTAAATACTTTTTTGCCCCACTGTATTTTTAAGTGGGAGAACTTGCACAATTGGTGGCTGACTAAATACTTTTTTGCCCCACTGTATTTTTAAGTGGGAGAACTTGCACAATTGGTGGCTGACTAAATACTTTTTTGCCCCACTGTATTTTTAAGTGGGAGAACTTGCACAATTGGTGGCTGACTAAATACTTTTTTGCCCCACTGTATTTTTAAGTGGGAGAACTTGCACAATTGGTGGCTGACTAAATACTTTTTTGCCCCACTGTATTTTTAAGTGGGAGAACTTGCACAATTGGTGGCTGACTAAATACTTTTTTGCCCCACTGTATTTTTAAGTGGGAGAACTTGCACAATTGGTGGCTGACTAAATACTTTTTTGCCCCACTGTATTTTTAAGTGGGAGAACTTGCACAATTGGTGGCTGACTAAATACTTTTTTGCCCCACTGTATTTTTAAGTGGGAGAACTTGCACAATTGGTGGCTGACTAAATACTTTTTTGCCCCACTGTATTTTTAAGTGGGAGAACTTGCACAATTGGTGGCTGACTAAATACTTTTTTGCCCCACTGTATACTCAATGGCAAAGTTCTCTGTGCATGCACATATATTGGGAACCTCTATTGAAGCAGCCACACAAGCCTTGCAAATACTGCAATGATAAAGGTGTTAATATGCTTTGCAAAACACCTCTTGAGTTCTTTGCACAGTCCTGGTACTGACTACTATTCATTCTTTTTTTCCTCCAAGCTGCTAAAATGCATAGCAGTAACAACTACAGAAACAAAACTACCGTATTTTTCCGTCAATAAGATGCCCCCATGTACAAGACAACCCCCACTTTTCCAACCCAAAATTAAGAAATCAATATTTTAAAG